AATTTATACCATGAGGTGATAAACAATACCACTGAAATCTACCTCATGACTTTATCGACATGCACAGGCGCCAAGAATCCAAGTGCAACCGATTAGAACTAATAATAATCAGATGCACACAGATTGGAGATGCACGCGCCAACATCTCAGTGTTAGTAGCAAAAACATTGAGTCTCTCTAAGAAATCATATGTTCTAAAGTGAAATGGAGATCTTTTTTAAAGGTTAAAACTCATTCAATTTTATGTCTTACAGGGCTTATACTGAGTTCAGTATTGTATAACTGTATTAATTCAATTGTGAACCTAGAAACTTACAACCACTTGTGAGAGATATACTCTTGCTCTGGAGTGTGTTACTGAATATGTTAAAGCTATAATGAAATGCTTCTAATCATGTGGTTATTAAAAATTTTTAAATAATAATAATAAATAAAATGTTTTTAAAAAGAGATACAGTGTTTGAAAGGTCTTTCTGAGTAATTAAGGCAGCATTTATCCATTTAGTCTAACATTTAGATACATATATGGAGTAAATTAACAAATCCATAACATTTAAGAACCATTCAAGGAAGCCTGTGCTCACCAATGTTCTAAGTAGAAAAATAGATCTGACACTTAGATCCATAAGCAGTAAGACCCAATGTGCTTGAAGGTCATTAGAATCTTACATGGAGCCTGTAGTCTACCTTAATAGCATCACAAAAAAGAGGGACTAGAATCTGGTACAACATCATACCTCTCTTGATATTATTAAATATTATTCTTTATAGAGAAGAAAACAAAATTCTTTGACCATGTTCTCTGACTCTACCAGAAACAGAATCCCTGCTTGATTCCAGGAGAACTGATTATATACTACTCATGTGGAATGCTATCTGAGTATGTACAATAGTCTATCATTAAGTAATTATCAAGTAGCGATACTAGACACAAAATCAGCATAAGTAAGACCAGAAAGCAGGAATGAGCGCTGCTTCACTGGCTGTTCAATAGCAGCAATTATATCCCATACCAATGGCCAGTATCTGATGCTTTTTCTCCCTTGTGAGTTTTAGGTATGATGAATAAATTACTCTAAAGCATGTGGATGATAACACCAGGGATTCCTGTAATGCTTAGAATGATCATCATGTTTTTAAAAATGACCAAAAATCTGCAAATCAAATCTTAATGTAGTACTATGGGAGACAGCTAGT